AATATAATATTTGGGAAAATACTTTAGTTAAGTTTGATGAATGATTATTGTTAATACATTATAATTATTATATCATTGAACAAATAATTTTTTTCTCATTGAAAACAATAGAATAAAAAACATTTATGTTATTATTTCAGACTCATTAACTTTTGGGTAGAATTTCAAAATAATTGAATGATAAATTCAATTTTAGTTAAAAGTGATGTATTAATTTTTATTTGTATCACAATTATTAATACATATTAAGTGTTCAAAACGTTGTTTATAAAAACAAAAATAAAATACATAAAATATATTATAAAAATATGCACGACTTTATTCATAAAAAATATAATTTAATTACTCTTTTTACTCTATGTAATCAATTGAATAAAAAATAGTTTAAAATACTTAAAACCAATTCAAATGTTTGGTGTTTTTGTGATTTACTTATTACTTGTTACATTATAAAATAAAAGTCATATTATGTTTACTAAATTTAGTTTTTGAATAATTATATATGTTTCATTCACTCAAACGCAACAATTATTTTTAAATTTCATAAACAATGACGTGTGAATTAATGAATAATATTGCTTTTAATTTGAAACAATTGACATTTGAATAAAAAACAAATTTAAAATACGTTTCTAATTTTTTTGATAAAAATTATGTTTTATTGTATGTTTTGTTTGAAATGCATTTTAGTTTTTAGGTGCACACGTTGACTTTTCTTGTTAATCAAAATAAAGAAGCAAATACATATTTATTGTAATAACTTTTATTTTTTTTATATGAAATATAAAGTATAAATAAATCGAAGTTTTTTATTTTTTGTAAAAAAAATAATTTTCTTCTTGTTTCTAACAGTAAGTATTTTACCTATAAAACGGGTTAAATTATTCAGTTGAAAAACCGTGAACCTCTAATTACAGTTGACCAAATAATTATCAGAAACCAAATAATTGTAAGAAGGATGTATTTCCCGTTAATTACATTGGAAATGACTAATGAAAAAAGTGAAAAAAAGGTACACCAAATAATTCTAAAGGCGATCACGGTGAATCTATTTATGTTGATTATTTTGGCTTTTTTACTCAAGAAATAAATATAGAACAATTATTATTAAAAATGAAAATTTTAGAAAATATAATTTTAACATATAAAAATAAAACATATTTTGCTCCAAATATAAAAAACAATTTATTTGCAAAATAATATTTTATTTTTTCAATAAATTTCTCGTTTTTCTATTGAATAAAAATGATACTCGTAAACTTTTAATAAAAAGTTTAATAACTTTACTAAATTATATAGTTCAAATAAATTTTTTTTTGAGCACATATAAAATCAGCAATTGAGTTGTGTGAATGGGGAATTTGAATTGATTGTTGGAAAAGCGTATCCGTTTATCTTGCGGAAACTTTGGATACGCCTCCGTAACTATTTAGTTACAATTAACACAACAATGAAAAACCATCGCTATTTTTCATTAAACCTTTTTTGTTAAGAAAAAAAACGTGAAAAAACTTGATATTGTATATTAAATGGTAAATAATCTATTAGAAAAAATCATCATCTATATATAAAATGTTCATTTTTCATCATCTGAATATAGAAATTTAATAATTAAACAAAAAAGCAAAGAAAAAAATTGTGTATTATTTGTATCATTATAATATAGCATATTAATAATATTATTTTCTGTACAAAGATTTTTTAATAGTTTATAATTTTAAAACTAAAACTAAAATATCATTTTTATTTGATACTTATTAATATTTTTATTAATAAATTACAAATAATTTGTCTAATTAATAATATATAAACATGTTATAATATATGTCTTACAAGGAAAATATACAAGATAACGTAAATTATAAATCAAATCAAATAATTCATAAAAATAATTTTGTTTATTCAAACAATTCATTAGATTCATAAATTTTTTTGACAAAATCGTTAAAAATTTGTAAACATAGTTCTACGCTATTGTCATTTCCCCTCGTTTCGAAAATTGTTTCCACAAACTCCTCTACACCGTTTCTAAACGAATGGGGTAAATCCAAAGGAATGAAATAATTAATAGATTTAGGATTTGACAACAACAAACAATACATATTCCAAATTACATACAATCCACATGATGTAGTATCATGTTGAGTTGGAACATTATTTTTTTCGTTGACTTTACATATTAAAGAAGATCCATTTGTATCATTTATTTTTTTAAACAAAACGTTAAGAGAGTCGCACAATGAATCACTACATGTAGTCGCATATAAACTATCCAACACTGTTGCATAATATGTTGATTCTTTTCTCAATAACAAACCCAATTACCAATGGCCAATATTGTTGTTTTTAGAATCTATTTCAATATGTGATAATATTTTTTCGTTTTGAAAATTATTATCATCAATTACACAAGTATCAGTAAACGTGTCTGATAATGTTTTGAAAGTAATATTTTCATTTCCGGAGATAAACATTGGAATTATAACAATTTCATATTTGAATATTTCCCAATTGTTAATCCAAGAAGGAAAGTTTTTCATTTCAGAACAACATTGAATAAGAATAACATAATAATAAGGATTAGTAATGTAAGCATTTGGAAATAAAACCCGAAAAATTGAAGAAAACAATTCTATAATTTGGTCGTCCAAATATAGTTCAGTTGAATCGACATTTTTTTTAGTTAACATCTTTATTGTAGCTGAAAGATTTTCTTTTGTTTCAAGTGATGATGTTGAAGATACTTTTGAAATCACATCTTGTGTCTGAACCACAGTGTTCGTTAAAAAATGGTTTATGTTGATATTG